TGCTGGGACTGGGCTGTCTCCCTGCCCCACCGCCTTCCCAAATGGTTGCGTGTGGCCACGCGCCGGATGGGACTCGTGTGACGTCATGCGTGTGACGTCACCCACAGGAGAGCTTCGCGCTGACGGTGGTGACTTACGTGGGGATGTCAGCGTCGCTGGTCTGCCTCTTCCTCGCCATCATCACCTTCCTCCTGTGCCGCTCGCTCTGGAGCGTCAGCGTCACCCTCCACCTGCAGCTCAGCATCTGCCTCTTCGCTGCCAGCCTCCTCTTCCTCGTGGCCGTGCCCCGCCCTGCCAACAAGGTATGAGCTCATCGGGGGTCTCATCATTTGAGCATCTTGTGGCCTTCAGGCTCTCCTCACGGTCTCCTTCAGCATCTTGGAGCCATCCGGGGGCTCCTCAGGGTCTCCTTGAGCCTCCTCGGGGTCTCCTTGAGCCTCCTCGGGGTCTCTGCATGCTCCTCAGGGTCTCCTTGAGCATCTTGGGGCCGTCAGGAGCTCCTCGGCATCTCATTTTGCTCCTCTGGGTCTCCATGAGATCTTTGGGGCCTCCTCAAGCTCCCCAGGACATCCTCGAGGTCCTTGGGGAGCTTGTGGGGAAAAGGACCCGGGGGTCACGGCTCTTGGCTGTAGCCTCTACCCTAATAGCGCCAGCAGACCTTCTGCCAGGGGTCCCATCTCACCCTGGGTGGGCGCCAGCACTTTGATTACGGGATAACAGAGGTTGGAAGGTTTGGTCCAACCCCAACTCAAAGGAGGTCCGATTAGTTGAGGTTCTTCGAGGTTGTTGGTTCCCTTCTTGTTCTGGGTGGGTGTCAGCACCTGAATTACAGGATAAATGAGGTTGAACGGGATGTTTGGAGGTCTCCAGGCCAATCTCCACTCAAAGTGGCTCCAACTAGTTGAGGTTCCTCAGAGCTGTCGGGTCTCATCTCTCTCCGGGTGAGTGAAGGCACCTGAATTACAGGATAACCAAGGTTGAACAGGATGTTTGGAGGTCTCCAGACCAACCCCAACTCAAAGCAGGTCCACCCAGTCAGGGTTCCTCAAGGCTCTCGGGTCCCTTCTTCCCCTGGGTGGGCGGAGCCAACTGAACTATGGGATAGCTCAGCTTGGAAGAGACATTTCAATGTCTCCAGCCTGCCCCCAGCCCAAAACATCTCCACCTCCTTGAGGTTCCTTGGGGCCACGTTGGGGTGTGTGGAACGTCTCCAAGTGCCGGAGATGCCACCACCTCCCCGGGCCACACTGTGGTGACACTGGGGAGCTCAGCATGGCCTCGGTGTCCCCCATCCAGCTGGCGTGTGCCATCATGGCGGGCTTCCTCCACTACCTCTTCCTCGCCTGCTTCACCGGGATGTTCCTGGAGGGTTTGCATCTCTTCCTCACCGTCAGGAACCTGCGTGTCCTCAACTACGCCAGCACCAGTCACTTCAGGAAAAGATACATCTATCCCGTGGGTTACGGCATGCCGGCCATCTTGGTGGCCATCTCCGCCACCGTCAATCACGACGGCTACGGCACTAAGCACGAGTGAGTCCCACCAGCACCCAGGCTGGGGTCAACCAAGCGGGGTGGGATCATCAGTGGAGAACGTCATGCGTTTTGCCTAAATCGTCCCCAAAAAAAGATGCCGCGGCATCCAGACGCGGGTATTTTCATGCCACCAAAATCACCAAAGGGATTTTGGGGTATATGTCCCTTTTTTCTCCCTTTTTAGCTGCTGGCTGAGCATGGAGGGAGGCTTCATCTGGAGTTTCCTCGGTCCCGTCTGTGTCGTCATCCTGGTGGGGGTCCTGCTGCTGAAAGGAGGCGGAGGGGGAAAAATTGGGAGGAAAAAAGCAAATTTAGGCTTGCCTTTAAGGACAGCATTAAGCAAACGCCCCACGGGCTGGGTGCACTCGGCAGAGGTCACACCACGGTGCATTAATGACCCTTTTTTTTGCACCATTGGCCCCTTTTCCATCCCAAATTTATGACTGTGGCCACGGCGCTTCCCCCATAGACCCTAAGCTGAGGAATTTTAGAGACGTGCATAAAAAGCGCAAATTCACATGTATATTTGAGGACGGCGTTAAGCAAACATCCCACGGGCTGGGTGTGCTCGGTGAAGGTCACGCCACGGTGCACGGGTTTGCACCATGGACTCTTTTCCACCCCAAAATGTATGCCTTGTGGACCCTGTCTTGCAAAATGATGGGCTTTTCGCTTTCTGCCCAGGTTAACTTGCTATTTTTTCTCACCACCCTCTGGACTCTACGGGACAAACTCTCCTCCCTCAACGCTGATGTCACGGCCCTAAAAAAACACCCGGTGGGTTTTGGCGTCAGAGGGAAATGTGTTGAGTTTTTTTTGGGGGGGAGGAGGAGGGAGCATCTGGGATGGGGTTTGGGTGAAAAAAGAGCAAAATGAGCGTTCCCTCAGGCTGATGGCGTTCAAGGCGCTGGCGCGCATCTGTATCCTGGGCTGCACGTGGGGTCTGGGCTTGCTGCAGGCGCGGGGGGACAATATAGTGGTGTCCTTCATCTTCACCATCGTCAACAGCCTGCAGGGAGCCTTCATCTTCCTTGAGCGCTGCGTCCTC